ATGAAGATTAAAGGTACCCCCAACAAGGGTGTCGGAGCACTTGACTCCATGAGGCCAAGCTCCCCTCGGTGGGCCTGATGCTCTGCTGACTGCGAGAAACAGAGATGAATTCACTGCTTCACTGGCTGCTTTACATCACCCTTTATAAGTTTCCTTTTTTGTTTGTTTTCCTTAGTTGAAATGGAGCATGATGCTGAAATAATGAAATACCCAAATTTTCTAGTATCTCTCTGTTAACAAAGACCTCCCTAAGGCAAGTGGGTGGAGAAAAATCAATCCACAGTCATAAGTAAAATCATCTTTAGGACAAAAAAAGGGAGCACATGACAATCCTTGTCATGTTATACATCATATTCACTCACTAGAAACTAGCACTTTGGGCCTCCCTGTCACCAAGGACCCGACCTTCTAACTCCTGTTCCTCAGACTGGAGGCACTGGCCCAAGTGTCCAAAGTGGGTGGCAGGCCTCCGGTGGAATGAGAGTGGGGTTTTTATTCTAACAGTAGTGCGTCAAGTAGTTTAATGTATATCAGAAGAAAACAGAATTAGCCTCTCTAACACAAAGCGCATAGATGCCGCTGCTAAGGAGGGCCTACAGAGGAACCTTAAAATTTTTCAAGAACGGAATTGAAGCCCTGGCCAGGCAGCTGATCACTTGCTTAGAGCATCATCCTGATACACCAAGGTTTGATCCCTGGTCAGGGCACTTACAAGCATCAACCAGGAACAAGATGGCGGCGCAGGTAAGCGCTGCACCCTCCGCCTCCCGCAACCACATCAAAATTACAACTAGAACACAGAACCACCGTCACTCAGAACCTCCTGAAATCTAGCTGAACAGAAGCCCCACAACCAGGGAACTGAAGGAGCAATGAGACCATTACGAGGGGCGGAGACACAGGTGGATGGGGCTGGGTCTCGGAGACGTAGCCGCGGGCCCACACCCGGTGCCGCAGGTTAAACCCGGGAGGGAATCTCAGCGACGGAGGTTTCCCGGAGGAGGGAGGGGTCCCAGCCCCACATCAGGCCCCCAGCACAGGGCTTCAGGGCCAGGAAGAGAAGTCCCCACAACTTAGGGCTGTGAAAACCAGCAGAGACTGTCGCTGAGGGATGCAGAGCTGCAGGGGCCCCAGGCTTTCCTCTTAAAGGGCCTGTGCACGTACTCAGACGCGCTCCCTCTGAGCCCCAGCGCCGGGCAGCAGCTTGAAAGGAAACTGGGACACTTGGGGAGGAACTAACCTGCCTGGAATCAAGGCGAGAGCTAGAGGGGCAGCTTTCTCCCAGGCAGAAGAGCTGGCACAGGCCACTGCTCCTTTGGCAAGCCGTTCCCCACAGAGCCAGCAGGCAGGCGCCATATTTGAATCACCAGCACCTGACTCTCACCTTTGGCCCCGCCCTGGTGATTCCTGTAGACCCCACCCCTCCCTACTTGCAGGCTCATCCAGGCCATTTCCAGGGGCTTTTCTATGCAAGTGACTTCTCTAGCCTCATGCTTAGGACTTTCCTAAAATCTCTCAAACAAGCAGCAGCTGGCCTCAGACTTCTCAGTAAGTGGCCCCAAGCACAGCACAAGAGGCAGCCCATCGTAGTTCATAGCTTGGCCTCTCCTGGGCACCTCCAAGCCCAACACACGTAGCAGCCACCTACAGACTGCTGTGTAGCTCATGCTGGGTGGCCCTGGGCAGGGCACAGGCAGAGCCTGACTTTGTACCTCCCAGGAGGCCCCAGAGACAGTGCACCTGGTGGTCAGCTTCAAACACACCACACCCTACCACATCCATGAGTGACACACTCAAGGGGCAGACTCAGTGAGCACCAAAGCCCCACTGAAGCAAAACCTGCTTCATAGGGGTATCTCCTACACAGTAGCACTCCAGCTGTAATCGAAGCTGGTCCTCACAGCAAATTGGCCTAGGGGTCAATTTCTCCCAGTGATGCCAACAGCAATCAAGGCTCAACTACAATAGGACAGGGCACACAGCCCACACGGGGGAACACCTAGAGTGCCCAGCTCAGGTGACTGGGGAGGTTGAGCCATTGAACCCTACAGGACACCTACTACACAAGGCCACTCTATCAATTCCAGGAGACACAGCAGCTCTACCTAATACATAGAAACAAACACCCCAAGGAGCCAAAATGCAGACAAAGAAACATGACATAAATGAAAGAAGAGAAGAAATCCCCAGAAAAAGAACTAAAAGAAATGGAAGCAAGTAAACTACTAGATACAGAGTTCAGAATTATGGTTATAAGGATGCTCAAGGAACTTAATGAGAATTTCAAGGAAATCAGTGAGAACATCAACATCATATAAAAGAACCAGTCAGGCCCGGCCAGGCATGGCTCAGTGTTTGAGCATCAACCTAGGATCCAGGAGATCGAAGTTTGATTCCCGGTCAGAGCACATGCCCAGGTTGTGGGCTCAATCCCCAGTCAGGGGTGTGTAGGAAGCAGCTGATCAATGACAACTCTCTCATCATTGATGTTTCTATCTTTCTCTCTCCCTCTCCCTTCCTCTCTCTGAAATCAATAAAGATATATTTTTTTAAAAAATAAAATAAATGTCATAAGTTCATTCTTCTTTTAAAAAAATTAAAAACCAGTCAGAAATGAAGACTATACTAACTGAAATCAAGAATAATTTACAGGGAATCAAGAGTAGAGTAGAGGACACCGAGAATCAAATCAGTGATTTGGAATATGAGGAAGCAAAAAACACCCAATCAGAAGAGCAAAAAGAAAAATAATCCAAAAATATGAAGACAGTGTAAGGAGCCTCTGGGACATACCAACATTCAAATAGTGGGGGTACCAGAAGGAGAAGACAGGGGGCAAGAAATTGAAAACCTATTTGAAAAAATAATGACAGAAGCCTGGCCTGCTTGGCTTAGTGGTTGAGCGTCAAACCATGAACAAGGCCATCACGGTTCAGTTCCCAGCCATGCCTGGGGTTGCAGGCTCAATCCCCAGTAGGGGGTGTGCAGGAGGGAGCCAATCAACAACAGTCATCATTGATGTTTCTATCTCTCCCTTTCCCTTCATCTCTCTGAAATCAATAAAAATAAAATTTATTTAAAAATAAATAGATAAATAAATAATACCAGAAAACTTCCCCTACCTGGTGAAAGAAAAGACTTACAAGTCCAGGAAGCACAGGGAGACCCAAACAAGATGAACCCAAAGAGGCTCACACTNNGAAATTTTGCAGGCCAGAAGGGAGTGGCAAGAAATATTCAAAGTGATGAAAAGCAAGAACCTACAACCAAGATTACTCTACCAAGCAAAGCTATCATTTAGAATTCAAGGTTAGATAAAGAGCTTCCCAAACAAGAAAAAGCTAAAGGAGTTCATCACTACCAAACCAGTATTACATGAAATGTTTAAGGATCTTCTTTAAGAAGAAGCTAATGAACAAAATAAACNGGGACCTGGAGATTATTATGCTAAGTGAAATAAGCCAGGCAGAGAAAGACAAGTACCACATGATCTCATTCATATGTGGAATCTAAAGAACAAAATAAACCGATGAACAAAGTAGATCCAGAGACATAGAAACACAGAACAGACTGAGGCATCTCAGAGGGGAGGAGTGGGCAAGAAAAGATTAACCAAAGAACTTATATGCATATATGCAAAATCCATGGACATGGACGATAATAGGGTAAAAGCCTGGGGAGGGGGTAGAGCAGGATAGAGGGGGTCAATGAGGGGAAAAAGGGGGACATCTATAATACTTTCAACAATAAACATAAATTTTAAAAAATTCAATTTAAATAAAACACTATGCAAAGACCATCAATTTGGGGTGAAGCCCTGGCGGCATGTGGGGCTTCAGCCCCTCGCTTTGCAGTCCAAGGAAGCCTCTGGCCCAGGTGTAAAAACATCACCTCTCTGTGCGTAAACATGATAAAGTCGCGTGGGCACAGGTCTCTGTGCCCCAGTTTTGAGTAGTGTGTCCCAAAGAAAAATCACGGTTTCAAAAGCTTGGCCTTAGCAACCCAGCATGGTTCCTGCTCAACCTCCTGCCCAACCCTCACACAGCTAGCCACTGCCTTTCTGGACACCCTGACACACGCACAATCCCTGGAGTGCTGCCTGCCTGACACACTTGGGTTCATCCCCCAGGACCCAATATGAGGGCCCTGCTGCCTGGGCCTCTGCCTCACCAAGCAAGTTTGGCCCCCTTCCTTTGCCTACCTCCTCCCCAAAAGCCCAGTCTAGCAGTCAGAACTCAGTGTCTTGGAGGGAGGTGGCAGGAGTTGACCCATGCCATTGCAGAGCAGCAGGGAAGGGCTTATGGGGCAGTCCTTCAGCACAGCCTTAGAAGCCTCACTTCACAAATAAGAAAACTGAGGCACAGAGGATGACTATAAGAAGTCCCAGTGTGGCTAGAACAAATAATCACACACAGGAATTGATCCCCTCCAGGTCTGGAGGCCAGAAGTCCAAGATCAAGATGTCACAGGGCCATGCTCCATCTGGATGCTCCAGGTGAGGGTCCTTTCTTCCCCTTCCAGCTGCTAGTGCCCCAAGCGTCCCTGGACTTGTGGCCACATCACCTCATCTCTGCCTCTATTGTTAGATGGCCATCCCCCCACGCCTGTGTCTCAAATCTCCCCTTCCTTTCCATTTAAGGACCCCTGTCATTGGATTCAGGTCCCACCTAATCCAGGGTCATCTCATCTAGAGATCATCAAATGATGACATCTGCAGAGACCCTATTTCCACATAAGGCCACAATCTGAGGTTCCAGATGGGCGTTAATTTCAGGGAGACATAACATTAAAAACTTGCCCAAGGTCACCCGGCTACTAAGAGACACTAGTGAGGTCTGACTCTGCCCACACTTTGATCCCTCCACAGCCAGCCTTGAAGGGTGTGACCACCCTGGTGTGGGCATGGGCCGACCTACAGCACAGCCCCCTCAACAGACCCACTTCCTCTACCCTCAATGTCCTACTGACAAGGCAGGAAGGACAAGGGCTCACCTCCCAGGCTACCTGGAGCAGGGCATGGCTGTGGCACCTACATGTAGCAGGGAGCATAAGGGAAAATCTGCTTCAGGCTCCCAGAAAGGAGAACATCTGTCTTCCAAACAGAAGAGACAACAGGGGACACCCAGTGCTAGAAAGAAATGCCCCAAGATCCCTGCCCTAGGGCATTCGTGAAGTTTCTCCCTGCTAGTCCACCAAACACACTAATCTGTATGTACACTGCTGTGAAAAAATTCTGCAGAAGGAATTTAGGTCCCAGGTCAGCTGACTCTTAGTTCATCAAAAGGGAGATGGCCCTGGGTGAGCCTGAACTAACCAGGTGAGCCCTGAAAGGGAAGGGCTCTTCCTGGCCAAAGGTTCGAAGCTCTTGAGTGATTGGACACAAGGGAGATTCTCCACAGCTGGCCTGAACATGGAAGGACCATATAGCAAAGGACCAAAAGTGGCCTCCATCTGCCAGCCAGCCAGGAAACAGCTTCAGACTCAGAACAGCAAGGAAAGGAATTCGCCAACAACTTGGAAGAGGACTCCCAGAGTACTCAGCCAATGGCATATGGATTCCAGCCTTGGAGACCCTGAGCAGAGAACCCAGCCACATCATGCCCGAACTTCTCACCTACGGAACTGTGAGCCAATCAATAAGCATTGTTTTAAGCCACTGAATTTGTGATCATTTATCCCACAGCAGTAAAAAACAAAAACAAAAAATTGAACACCTCTTGCACAGTCTTCCCATCTTGAATGTGATGGCTAGAGCTGTAAAAGCCATCCTATGACCATGAGGCAATAAGCATTAGAAAGTAAAAGGTTAACAAGCTCAGGGTGGCAGAGAATTAGGGACAGAGCCTGAGTCTCTGCAATGTCCCTGTGATAGACTATTGGATGTGGTCCTCTATGAGCCACTGGGGTCCACTTCTCCACCCCCTTGGGATCAGGTTGACCTCATACTTGGCTTTGCACAACAGGACACAGATGGGGGTAACATTCTGGGAAGGCTGAAAAGAGATATTAACAAGCCCTATAGTATCTACTATTCCCTGAGGGAACCCAGATACCAGGTGAAGGAGCCCAGACTGTCCCCATGGAGTAAAAGGCCAGTGGGTGAAACGTCACCAGAAGAGAACGGGGTCTCAGAAATAAGAGTGAGTCCAGCTAACATCTCAGAAGAGAGAAGCCTGTCACCGCCACCAACCCCATTCACAGGAGCCATCCTAATTGGGATAACGGATGCATGAATGAGACCAGGCTGGCTCCTTCTGTCTCCGCCAAAACCACATGAGCAGAAATGGACCATCCCCACTGAGCCCTGACCCACAGAATCGTATCAGTAACCAACTGTTCTACTGGGCCTCTAGGTTTGGGGGGTATTTGTTACTCAGCACCAAATAACTGACTGAACAGGCCCTGATGGGACTGCGGAGTACTGCCCCCCC